TTCTACCCATGTCAAATTTTTGATATGCTTATTGAATAGGGAGTTTTACTGTTTTTTTTTTCCCTATAGATCAATGCTAAAGATGATGAGGGAGTGGTTGCTGGCTCTTGGGACAATGTTTATGCTTATGGAGTAGCACCGTCAGCCTGGACAGGAAGTGTAGACATCCTTTTGGAATATCATAGCTCTGGTATGCCAGTGTCTACCCATGTCAAATTTTTGATATGCTTATTGAATAGGGAGTTTTACTGTTTTTTTTTTCCCTATAGATCAATGCTAAAGATGATGAGGGAGTGGTTGCTGGCTCTTGGGACAATGTTTATGCTTATGGAGTAGCACCGTCAGCCTGGACAGGAAGTGTAGACATCCTTTTGGAATATCATAGCTCTGGTATGCCAGTGAGATATGGTCAGTGCTGGGTCTTTGCTGGAGTCTTCAATACATGTAAGTATAAAAATGTTTTTATACTATCCCTCCCCCCAATCAAGTCCGGGGTTCGGGGGAGTGTGCCAAGTCTCCTCTCCCTGCCAGGGGCGCATGGCACAAGAAGGAACCGCCAGCTGTTTTGAAAGACTTCACGTGCTCCCCTGTCCCTGCTCAAAGTCTCTCCCACTGCCAGGGGCATGCAGCACCTAGAGAGAACTGCAAACTGTTTTGAACAGATGGCGGTTCACTCTAGACTCCACGTGCCCCTTGCAGAGTGGGGGTGGAGGACAAAGATTTCACGTGCTCCACTGTCCCCAGACCCCGATTGGCCTGGGGATGGGGGGAGTGCGTGAAGTCTCCTCCTGTCACCAGGGGCACATGACACCTAGAGGAAATGGCCAGCTGTTCAAATATAGCTGGCCAGTGGCGTAGTGGGGGGGGGGGCAGCTGCCCCCAGGCGCCATGCTAGGGGGGCACCAATTTAGTCCCCCGCCACTCCCCCTGTCATCCCTCGGCTCACCTGCTCCTTCTCTGCCCGCCACTAGCAGCTGGAGCCTCCTCATCACCTCTCTGCCCCCCAGCCTGACCCTCCTCCATCTCCACCAGCGGGTTAGTGCATGCAGGGCCTTCCAGGGTTGGACTCAGCCATTCACCAGTGACGGGGAGGGGGAGGGACACAAATTTTGGTTTTGACCCCAGGCGCATAACACCCTCACTACACTTCTTCAACTGGCCGTTCTCTTTAGGTACTGGGGGAGGAGAACAAAGACTTCAGATGCTCCCTCACCCCCAGGCTAATCAGAGTATGTGGGTGGGGGAGCAGAGGGTCACTTCAGAAATGTATGACGTGTCCCCCTTCAGAAATTATTGCCCACTCCTGAGCTAATTGCTAAAAGATTTTTGAAAATATTTGTTGTCTTTGATTTTTGTAGTAGAAATTCATGTCCTGCCTAACATGGAAGACGGTACGACCTTGTCAACAGTCAGCTGTAGAGAAGATTGTGTGATCATAGCATGACTAGCCAATGAGAATTAAGCCCCTGAAACTGCAAGGGCTTCCACCCCTTTCACCAGCACTAAATTCACTATCCCCTCCCCCTGATTCCTCTGCTCACCTGCCAACCCTCCCCACTATGCCCTGCAGGACATCTAAAACCTGTTCCATTGTTGATGTACCATTATACAGAGTGGGCCAAATGTTGCCTTTTGAAGCATAGGTGTGCAACTCCCATTGGGATTGATTCATTTCAGTATTCCTCTAGCTATCCCCTATTTATAAACCTGAGGTAATGTGGTGTAGGTTCGGGACCATTTGTATTCATTAGGAGACATGCATTTTAGGGCAGAATCTGGCAAGGTAGGCCAACTAACATAGCTAGTGCAGTTAGCAATCTAGCATGCATTGCTGTTACAAAGCCAGATGACATGACAAAAATCAATGACTAGCAAGTTAAAATGCTAGGCATTGGCACATCTCACACATGGCTGCTTCCATGAAGAGGGGCCTTTGCAAATGAGTGACAAGAAGAAAATAGTGAAGGTGGGGAGTTGAATTCAGCTAGACCGATTGCTTTGAGTTATTTGAAGCTTGTAACACTTTATGATGGCACCTACACCCAGTCCAGTTTTCCAAGGTGGTCATACTGACTGAAGATAATCAGCTGCTTTAAAATGCTAAAACATTCTGGAGGCAAGTAAGCTAAGTCATTGATCTTGCAATTGTCGGATGAATTATTTTCAGTGAGCCCCGATGGCACTCATGTGCTAGAAGCCATTTGAATGAAATGTAATCCATTTGGGAGGGCATTTGAATGAAATGTAATCCATAGGTCTGTATGGCATCAGATGCATCCAGATAATTTGTCATCCCAGAATTCAAAACACGTGTGGTGTTGTTCCTTATTGAAAAACACAGAAGTGATGTTTGCCTACATAGGGCCATAGAGGGATGTCTAAAATTTCCCATTGAGACTGTTTTGTGACAGTAAATTCAATTTTTCAATTCTCTCCTCCCCTCCCCCTCCCCAAAGTAGTATCTGCTCTCTGGACACTTTAGGCTTTTCATCAAAAGGGAAAAAAGGCTCTTTGCCTGAAAACTGAAAATTTCTATTACAAATGCTGCTGCAGTATCTCATGGCAATTGTAGTTCAGATACCTCATGCCCCCATTTTTCTTTGTGGGTTATACATCACTGGCTGGACTCCATCTCCTATGCTATACACTTAAACTCTGTACTCTGGAGGTATGTCTAGACTACATGGCTCCGTCGACGGAGCCATGTAGATTTGTTTTTTTGGCAAAGGCAAATGAAGCCGGGATTTAAATGATCGCAGCTTCATTTAAATTTACATGGCTGCCGCGCTGAGCCGACAAACAGCTGATCAGCTGTTTGTCCGCTCAGCACGCTAG